CTTAAGTTGACAAGTATTGTTTAACACAACAAGGTAAGCAAGTGTGCAACCTAAGTTGACAAGTATTGTTTAACACAACAAGGTAAGCGAGTGTTGAAGTTAAGTTGACAAGTATTGTTTAACACAACAAGGTAAGCAAGTGTTCAACTTAAGTTGACAAGTATTGTTTAACACAACAAGGTAAGCAAGTGTTCAACTTAAGTTGACAAGTATTGTTTAACACAACAAGGTAAGCGAGTGTTGAAGTTAAGTTGACAAGTATTGTTTAACAGAACAAGGTAAGCAAGTGTTGAAGTTAAGTTGACAAGTATTGTTTAACAGAACAAGGTAAGCAAGTGTTGAAGTTAAGTTGACAAGTATTGTTTAACACAACAAGGTAAGCGAGTGTTGAAGTTAAGTTGACAAGTATTGTTTAACAGAACAAGGTAAGCAAGTGTTGAAGTTAAGTTGACAAGTATTGTTTATCAGAACAAGGTAAGCAAGTGTTGAAGTTAAGTTGACAAGTATTGTTTAACAGAACAAGGTAAGCATGTGTTGAAGTTAAGTTGACAAGTATTGTTATAGCTTAATGAAAACGGACAATTTCACAATATTTTGAAGGGAATTTAAAAACGTTTCAAATGTATTACTTGGAACATAAAGTAACGGAATGATGTCTCAGAATTCAAGCTTGCTTTAAATATCACCATGTTGTTTACAAAAGAAACAGTCAGTTCCATCATATCTTGAAAAAAAACGTTATTTCTGTCCACTTCGGTACCTTTGCCCCCACCCACCCAGTGGCACAGTGGTACGTCTTCGGACTTATACTGCTGGATAACAAACACCAACACCGACCTAGTTTTTCTTATTCTTATGGCAATCTAGGTATTGGTATTTTCAACCTAGACATATGTCAGATAAGAGACTCCAAGAATTAGGCATAGCTATATCTAAACTAGAACTGCTAGCTAGAGAAAGGACAACAAATCGGAAGTACTCTTCACCTCGTGGTAATCTTAAAAATATAATTTTTTTACCTATTTAGAATATTTGCCTCGTTTTCGTTTTGAATTTCGAGCCAAACCTCACGAGGGCTATCTGTGTTAGCTGTCCCTAATTTAGCAATGATAGACTAGAGGGAAGGCAGCTAGTCAACATCGCCCACTGCCAACTTTTGGGATACTCTTTTACCAACGAATAGTGGGATTGACCGTCATATTATAGCGCCACCACGGCTCAAACCTTGTCAAAATCCTGTGTAGACCTTTTTCCATTTGTTCCTAATCCATTCGTAGAATCCTGTTTAGGATTGTCACTAGTCGTTCTTGAAACCTCGTTAGGATCCTGTATGGAACTGTTTCTCTCTGGCTCTGTTTTTAATAAAATGTCCCCCGGTGGAACAGCGGTATGTCTTCGGACTTACAACGCTACAATCCGGGGTTCGATTCCCCCGCGGTGAACACAGCAGTTAACCAATGACTAGCAGCTTCTGAACCCTTCTTGGAACCTTGTGTGGAACCTTTTCTGCTAGTCCTGATCTGTGTAAAATAAGCGTGGAATGATCAGGCTAAAATATGTTTTTTATCTTCCAGTAAACAAGGTTTTATGTGTAGAGAACCATCAAGACCAAGACATTTTGTGATGTAGTTTTCTCAAAGTCGACACGCCGTTTGAGTTAAAAGATTTTTTATGGCCCGCAGGAGATTCTGAGCTCTCGGTATGACGACTAGTTGAAGAAAAAGGAGACACTTTCTGCTCAACTGCTTCCATCAAATAATCAAGGATTGTTTTAACTCTGTGCCCTTTAGTCTCGATACAAAACCGGCGACTTAAGCTTTCAGACACCTAACGCGTCGAAAGCGTTTATCTACCGGTTCTCCACACTTGTCTAGATATCAGTTTTTACGTCAGTATTTTCTTTTTATTGAGTAACAAAGTGTCTTTCGAACGAAACACGATGATCCTGATACTAACATAAGCGTGTTGAGAACGGCGCTAATAAAAGAACTTTGTTTCTTTTGGGGTAGAACAAATACATTTCTTAGTTGTAAAGTGGGGACAAGACCATTCATACTTAATACATTTCTTAGTTGTAAAGTGGGGACAAGACCATTCATACTTAATACATTTCTTAGTTGTAAAGTGG